CCATTTTCATGGGCCTCATTGCCAGTGTGATGGCTTCCTGGAAGACAGACGATCGCTTCCACTATGGTTACAAGCGCGTCGAGACGCTGTCTGGCTTTGCGAATGGCATCTTCCTGGTGCTCATCAGCGTCTTTATCTTGTTTGAAGCCGTGCAGCGTATCATTGAACCACCCGTGATGAATAACATGACGCAGCTCTTGGTGGTAAGCACGCTGGGTTTGCTGGTTAATCTCTTCGGCATGTTTGCAATGGGTATGTGTCTCAACCTAACACAGGCCATCATCATCATGGGCACAGCCATGGGCACAGCCATGGCCATGATCACGGGCATGATCACCATCATGGCCATAGCCATGGCCATGACCACAGCCATGATCATCATCATCATGACCATGGTCATTCTCATAACATGCTGGGACTGTATTTGGTATGTTTTCCTACTAACCACAGCATGTCATGGCGGATACGCTCGGCTCTGTGGGCGTGATCATCAGTACGATCCTGATCCACTATTTCCACTGGACCGGATTCGATCCTATCGCCTCTCTCTTGATCGGGCTGATGATTCTGGGATCGGTGGTGCCGTTGGTCATTGACTGCGGCAAGATCCTATGCCTCGATTTAAGTTCGACCGATACCAGTGCTGTTGAACACGCGCTGGCGAAAGTGACTGCCATGCCCGGCGTTCGCAGTATCTCTGCTCCTCGCTTTTGGCCCCTGGACGGAGGGTCGCTGATTGGCTCAATTGTATGTTCTGCGCTCGGACCACTTACCGTGCAGCATGTCCAGACCGAGTCCGATACCCACGGAGAGCAAAGTGTTCACACCCACATTTCCTCGACAATGGATCCAGCAAAACTGGCACTGGAAGTTGAGGCCTTACTCTTGCACGAGATTCCTGGTCTGGAGTCCGTCACTGTACAGGTGAATACGCTGGACGAGGTCCATAGCCAATGATTAAGTAAACTTCCTTCCCATTGACAAAAATTCCCTCACTTCCACGATGACGACATTGACTTCTCCTCAATGCTGCAAAATGCCACCGGTGGCCTCCGACTAGTGCGTGTGAATCCTAACAAAGTGTTCCTGTCGGTAAGACGGAAGAAGTCGCAGGCGTTCCATGCTATGTGACCGGCGACGCTAAAGCCACCAAGGCAATTGTAGGCATCTACGACATTTTCGGTCACCATCCGTCGACACAGCAAGGCGCGGATCTTCTGGCAGCTCTTACGGGATTCCGCATCTACATTCCCGATCTGTTTGAAGATGGCGGTTTGCCTCATCATATCATTCCTCCTGATACGCCTGAGAAAATGGAGACATTCATGAACTGTGCGTGTCGTCTTCTTACGCAGACCTTTCCGGTATCGCTAAGCCTGACAAACACATCAAGAGCCTTACCGACATTGCCAATTACCTCAAGCAACATGGTGTGGAGAAGGTGGGCTTGTATGGACTCTGCTGGGGCTCGAAGCCAGGAGGTGCGTGGCCCGTGCTCACCCAGTTCTCGCTTGTGGAAAAGACACTCCTTATTCGGCTGCAGTCCTTATTCACCCTTCTCTGATTGTACCTGAAGATGCTAAGAGTCTGTCGGTTCCCATTGCATTGTTCACTACCATTGAGGAAGACAACGATGCAATGAAGACGTTCCAGAGTAACGTCCAAGCAAACCCTGTTACATCAAGCACATTTGTTTCGAAGCACTACGGAGACATCAACCATGGCTTTGCCGGTGCGCGTGCCAACTTTGAAGACCCCAAGCATGTCGAAAGATTCAAGGAAGTGTACGAGAATACTGCCAAGTTCTTCCTGCAACACTTGCAATAGATGATAAGCTTGCAACGCGACATTAGATCCATTGTGCTTAGCTAAGCAGGCAGCGTGCTGCAGCGCATCAGGACCTGCCGTCGCGTGTTTGTGCACGCCCCACTCCGCGCTCCATGACTGATCCGGTCCTGGCTGCCCGCATTGATACCCTGAATGATGGTGCTGGAGATGAAGGATACTGTTCTTTTTTTGTGCGAGCTCTGTTTGACTATGAGCCGGAAGGTTCCAACATGTTAAAGTTTCGTGCGGGGAACATCATTGAGGTACTGAGCCAATTGGAGAACGGCTGGTGGGATGGGTTATTGGATGAGAGCACTCGTGGGTGGTTTCCCTCGAACTACGTTGAGCTTATCTCCGATGAGCAAGCCGAACGGGCGTTGCAAAGTGCACCGCGCGTCGAAAGTCCAGTGCCAGGGAAAGCATCTGTCCAGAGCACCACCCCGCATCTGAGACCGCTGGCACAGTCGATCTCTGACCGGTTAAACATGCTATTGGAACTTATATCCTATGAGCATTCAGTGACACCAAACAATGTCGGAAACCATGCATTGGCAGATTATTTCCTCCAGATGACCAAATTGGTGGTCGATGATGTTCGCCGTTTCTTATCCAGCAATGATATGCTCCAAATCATTGAGTTTGATCCCTCTTCCCCGAAAAATACCAGAGATAGCTCTCTGGTTCTACTGCATTTGCAAGCGCAGAAATTACCTTCATTACTTTCTATGCTTGTCGTCCAGATGCGCGAACTCACGAAGCTTGTTCATTGCCACGTTAATCAGGGGGATCAAAGCGAGTACATCCGACAAGCCTACCGTACGGAAGAACAAGAAGCAAGAAAAAATGCTCTGCAACTAATGGACACTGTCCAAATCCTAGAAGCGGGTATCAATAAGAATTTTTCCCACTGGCGCAATTCCAATGGGTCCTCTACCACACTTGCAAGGCAGTCAGCTCCTTTGGTAAAGGGCTCTGGACTAGTATCAAAAAAACCAGAACAACTCACGTTAACGTTAACCCCAGAGGTGCACGCTTTTTTGGCAGAAGATGTGATGCCAAGGCCTCAAAGCGCGCTTCGATCCTTGCCGGGAACTGACCTAGATTCCTGCATCAGGTCAAAGTACCACGACTTTCACCGGGTTTTAAAGGTTCTTCATGCAACGCTTCGTTCCGGTGATAAGCAAGTTTCCAGTCCAGCATTTTGGTTACCAGCGGTGCGGGATGTGTTGGAGCAAACTGGGTCTATGTTGATCCTTTTTGATACAATAGAGGTTGCAGCACCATTGGACTGCATGCGGTATTCTGACCCAGATGACAGGTTCCCTAATGGATTGAATGTCTCTGAGAACAATGACTACCGGCAGTACATGTCTGCAAAAGAACGGCTCTCGAGTTCAACCAAGGACTTATTCCGCACAGTCAAGCGTGCGCTGGACTTGAACGGAACAGACCGCTATGAAATGCTAGACGAAGTCGCACAAAAGACTCGCGTACTGCAGTCTGATGCTGAGGACGTGCTGCAAGCAATTCGACGTTGTCTACTTCATGTTCACAACAGACCCAATATTTTGGACGCCAAATCGGAAAGCTCAATCACTTCTTCTATGGCTCGGATGAGGTTCTCAAATCCCATTTCATTGAACCAAAGCAGTACAGATGCAGATCCTTCGACACGAAAGGACACGACAGAAGATGGTTCCATACGGCAAAGCGTGTTCGAAACTTCTTCAATTGCGTCTTCTCAAGTAATTTACGCAAACGATCTGGTCTTTACGCAAAATGGCAACATTAAGGGTGGCACTCTGGATGCCCTTGTCATTGCATTAACCGACCAACAAATGACTGATGAAAAATTTTGCGCTGCATTCCTAGCAACGTATCTGTCGTTCACAACGTCAGAACATCTCTTGGAACTCTTAATCGAGCGCTATCGCCTTCATCAACCTTCCGTCTTGGATGCTCCTGCACCAACTGATGCAGACCCTACCCTGAATGAGCTGATACAATCTCGCGTGCTCATTGTTCTGCGCACCTGGCTTGACGCCTATTTCGATCCTTCTGAAAGAAATTGCCTCAACGCCTTGGATCAATTTGTAAGAACCGAAGTGACACGGGCGGCTTTCAGAAATGAACGCCAACAGCTTCTTCGGCTTATTGGGCGTCAAAGTTTAGGCTTTGAAAAGCCTGTGCCGGCATTTCAACTTATGGGCGCTGTTCCTGTTCCGATTTTACCCTCGAACTTGAAAGAGGCACAGTTTATGGATATACACGCCCTGGAATTGGCACGACAATTGACTCTAATGGAAAGTGAGCTGTTTATGAAAATCAAGACCACGGAATGTATTAAGAAAGGATGGACAAATTCATCCCAGCACAAATATCGCGGTATTCTTAACACAGTCGACCTTCATAACAAGGTATGGGACGAGATGTTAACCTCAGATTACGTGCTGGGTCGAAGAAACGTTACTCGCGGAGGACAACAATCGACAACGTTCCCTAAAGATGGAGCGTTTTATAATAACTGCTGATGTACGTTGTCTAACACTCACTCAGCATTGTCGCATGCTTAACAATTATTCCTCAATGTGGGCAATTGCTGTTGCACTAAACAGTGCCGCGATATTCCGATTGCGCAAAACTTGGGATATGCTAGAGAAACCTACGCGGATGTTGTTCGAAAAGATTGACACAATCGCGCAAGCCTCAAGGAATTTTGCGGTGTATCGCGACCTGATTCGCACGGCCGACCCACCTTGTGTACCCTTCTGCGGACTTTACACCCGTGATCTCACCTTCATTGAGGATGGCAATCCGGATCACATCGGGTCCGACAGGCGAGTTATTAACTTTGCCAAATCACAGCGCGTTGCCGACATTATTTTTGAGATCAAAGCATTCCAGAGTGTGTCGTAAGTGTTTTTGCACGGGACACTAACTTCAGCTACAATATCATGCATGTACCTGCCATTGAGAGCTACTTGAAGAAGAATTTGGTCTATCGTGGCGACGACCAATCTCGATATGAGCGCAGCTTGGAGATTGAACCTCGTGAACAGTATGTCCTTTGTTTAACCCAGACCAATAAGCCCTGAGAAGAACCTCTCCAAAATGCTTAGGGACAACGGCTTCCTGTAAAATATAGGTGTTAAAAAATTAATTTCCAAAAAAAGCTTCCGCGCCGGGAATTGAACCCGGGTCTGGTCCGAGCCGTGTCGAAATGACAAGGACCCGTCATAGCCACTAAACTACGCAGAACTTGTTGGCATAAAGGCTATTGACATATATAAAGGTGTGACAAATGGATTATGCTCCTCTTTGTGTAGTATCATCAAGAGTTCTGTTTGTTCATAGCGCGTTATAGTACAACCATCCTACATCAGTAAGCGCTTGGATACGCCGCGAGAGGTTTATCAGGTTATCCATAGCCACATAGTTTCCAGCATGGATTTCCTCTGAGGGAGCTGGCTTTAACAGTATTGTTGCAGTCTCCGCTGCCTCGATGGCATCGTCCAGTGTACGTTTGAAGTCGGACAGTTCTCCCAGCAAAACAGCCCAGGTGTTCTGCTCCACACCAATATGCTTTCTTGTCAAGGCTTGGAGAAAGTAGCATTTGAGCCAGACAACTCGATACCATTTGTTCAAGCTCTGCCACCAACGCGTGTGAACCGCGCTGTCGGACAATCTGTGATTTTGTAAAACAGTTTTGTCAGGTATGCGAAGATCGCACCATTCAGAGAGCGAGTTAAACGATGTATTTTGATGTATATCGATAGCGTCCGAGTTGACTGAGCTCTTCGACAACATTGAATATACGTGCTGGTAAACAATGTTGAGAAAGAGCCATGTATCCTGTAGTTTTGTCTTGGTGAGATGGTATTCGTACCTCGCAAAACACCTCCAGCGAGGTTTGGTCCAGAACACGTAGGTATTTGTGCGTCATTTTCTCGAATTGGGCCTTATTCGCAGCATTTGGTGCGGTATGTTCGCCAAGCTGGATGAGACATTCACATACCAGGAGAAACAAACCGACCGAGGTGTTAGCATGTTTGGCCATTTCGTCAAAAGCCTCTTGGTCATAACGATTCGACGCCATCTTTTCCAATCGAAATGCGAAGATGAGTTTGAACATCGTGTTCCAGTCTTCCTCGGATTTCAGTTGGCTAAAGAGCGCCTTTTGCATGGATGTTTCGTGACACATACAGGTCAGGGCCGATAATGTGCGCCAAGCCCCTTCGGAGATACTGCAGGTAGTTTCATCATGATCCTCTTCTGGAGCGTGGATTGTGGCGTGCGTTCGTGCGCCTGGCTGCATCCAGAACTCGACGCCCGATGCTGGCCATGGTTGCTCCACATCCAGCTCCCCACTTGGCTGGAAGGCGAGCAAATCCCAGATCGTGGAGAATCTGGCTGGTATAGCATCGGCCCACATTTGCAATGGCGTGTTGGTAAACGTATCATGCAAAGTGTACGCGTGGCGCCAATGTTCAATCTGCGAGCGCTGATCTTCTTGGAATGTGGGGAAATTTTGTGCGAACCGCGTTAGTAGGATTGATGCTCGGCAGACCGCCGTGGATGATGGCTGTAAGAACGACTTTTTGCGCATGCGTCGCGATGGCGATGCAATCTGTAATAGGGACCGCTCTGCACCCACGTTACTTTGGTCATGTGTCGGCACCGAGCACAAGCTGAGGCACAAAAGCTTCCGCATCAAAGCCCTGCATCAGCTCAAACACCTACGAGTTCGGTGGATTAAACTCCGTGTATACGGTATCGATGAGCTCCAACGCCGCATCATCTCTCATCAGTTCAGAGCACGTACATTGTTCTTCGTCCAAATAGTCGTCCACCAGCTGCGCCAAGGCTTGGGCCATGGCGGTTTGGCGTTGGCACGTGCATATGCGCGGAGCCCGATTTAGACGCAGGTTGCATCCGTTGTCACCAGTATGACGGCCATCACCTACGAGGCGCCATGTAGGTGAAATTTGTGTTGGCGTGCTAACCTTTAGGGCCAGTGTATGCCTTGGCGTGGTCTACGGGTGTGTCATCATCGCGCAAGTCGTTAGAGTAAGTCCTGCCTTGCTTATCGCAGTGATTATGACGAGAAACTGAACCGATCGCTGCCGCCCTCCGCGCGGCTGGCTGTTGGGAGTTTTGTTGAGGAGTATACCAACCGCATCCAAGTTCTCGGCACAGAAATGGACGCGCAGGGGTATGTGGTCTGCTCATCCAGGGAAAACCATGTTACGGTACTCGCCGATGCCTTGCATCCCTATCCTGCGACGAAGCTAGGCTTTCAGCCTTCGTCTCTGACCCGGGACGATCCATTGTCCAACCTCTCTGCTTCTGAAAAGAGCTGGTTTGGTACCAATGCAAATCCAAATATGAGCGTCAGCAGCGCAAGCAGCGCGAGCAGTATCGACAGTCATTCCGGCGCGGAGATGAGCGATTATTCGCAAGATGTTTTGGACGAGTATCCTGATACGGAGCTTTTGGCCAGCTCTGCAGATTGTCTGCACATATGGGAGATCCAGCGCTCGGACAACATCGACGATTTGTATGAGGGGTACGAGGCCATGTCGTTGCACAACGTTTCTAATAAGCGACGCGAACCCAAGACACGATTCACTCTGAAAGAGAAATGTGCATTGGCCCACGCCAAGAGCACCAATTCCCCCCCTGCACCACTTACGTCTTTTTCCTGGAACGTTCCTTCTCCCAATTTGATTGTCACTTCGTCGATCGACACAACATGCACGATTTGGGACCTGCCTACGCGGACGGCCCTGACCCAGCTCATTGCGCATGATCGTGAGGTATACGACGTCGACTGGTGCCCTGGCAGCGCTGATGTATTTGCGTCGGTCGGTGCAGACGGGAGCGTGCGTGTATTCGATCTACGCAATCTGGAACACAGCACCATTATTTACGAGACCAACCCACAACAGACCCCGCCCAACAGCCGCAACGCAGAAAGTGCCGCGTACAACTCGGGCGGTGCGCTACCACTGTTGCGCATTGCGTTTAATCCTTGGGACGCCAACTACCTCGCGACGTTCCATTTGGAGTCAGAGACTGTCCAGATTCTCGATGTGCGTGCGCCCGGAAGCCCGATTTTGGAGCTGCGTGGGCACAGCGGGCCAGTGAACAGCGTTGCCTGGGGTCCTCCTAGTCAGGCGGTCGGGCGGAATGGGCCCAGCAAAGGGATGATTTGTACAGGTGGAGACGATGCGCAGTGTTTGGTGTACGATATGGCGAGTTCTACGTTGAGGTCTGCCTCTGCGCAAGGACGCCGCTCGCGCAACAGCACGGACAGTCGCAAGAGTCCCGCACACGGTAGCGACGCGTTCCGCATTGGTCCCGAGATCCCTGTGCTTGCGTACACGGCACCCTCGATGGTGAACAACGTTGCTTGGCTGCGCAGTCCTTTGTCGCTGCGGCGGCCATCACATGCCAAGCACCACAGTTTCTATCGGAACCTGCTGCACGAATGGACGGACTATACCTCGGCGTCGGGCCAAGGTACAGGGAATGCCGACTGGCTCGCGCTCTGTGCCGGCCAGGCAGTCAAGATGTTGCGTGTATAGTGATTGGGTCCACAGATCGGGGATATAAAAAAAAAACCGCATATCGCGTTAGATGGGCGCGACCGATCGGAACGACCATGTCGGGCTTTGACCTGGGGCGTGTCTTCTCGACGCAAGTCTCTGCAGGCTCCGAGGTAGCTCAAGCTCCTGATGCGCCTGTTCAGAATGAGACGGCGCTGTTTGAATTTGTACAGCATTTCCGACTGGGCAATGAATACATCTACCGCGACCGGCTGCGCTCCAACCTACTCGTGAAGCAATACGTGCTCGAGGTGCTCCTCGAGCATGTTCAGATGTGGAGCCCAACGTTGGCACAGGCGCTGCGCGAGACACCCGCAGAGATCCTGCCGTTGGTATGTGACGTCGCTAATGCAGTTTGAAGCCGCTGTGCGCCGGGCCGCGCGGCTCATTTTGTACCCTGTCGTGGCGGGTGCCGAACGCCCCGAGGCGCCGCTATGCCAGGTGCTGCTGCGCTCGACGGCGAATCTGATGGCAATGCGTGACTTGCATGCGGACAACATCTCGCATCTTGTGCGGGTACCCGGCATTGTAATCAGCGCGTCGATCCCCGCATCGCGTGTGACCAAGTTGCAGCTCATGTGTCGCGACTGCCATGCAGTGCGCTCGCAGGAGGTCACGTCTGGGTTCGGAGGGTTTGCGCTGCCTCGGCAGTGTGACGCGCCCAAGGTCGACTCGAGCATCAAGTGCAGTCTGGACCCATACGTGATTCTGCACGAGCGGTGCGAGTTTGTGGACGCGCAGACGCTCAAGCTGCAAGAGGCACCTGATATGGTGCCAGTTGGTGAGCTACCGCGGCACATGCTCCTCTCGGCGGACCGTGCACTAGTGGGACGCGTGGTACCTGGCGCGCATATCATCGCGACGGGCATCTTCTCGACCTACACCGTGCAGCGGTCTAGCACGCAGCCGAATGCGGTTGCGCTGCGCACGCCTTACCTGCGTGTGTTGAGTGTCGAGGTGGATATGGGCGGTGCGGGGGGTCGCGGTGCGCCGCGCCTGTTTACGGCGGAGGAAGAGGACGAGTTTGGACGGATGGCCAAGATGCCCGACCTGTACAGCAAGTTTGCCGCGAGCATTGCGCCGAGTATCTATGGCAGCACAGACATAAAAAAGGCGGTGACCTGTCTGCTGTTTGGTGGCTCGAAAAAGGTGCTTCCGGACGGGATGCGCCTGCGTGGCGACATTAATGTGCTGCTGCTTGGTGACCCCGGTACGGCCAAGAGTCAGCTGCTCAAGTTTGCGGAGAAAGTGTCGCCGATCGCCGTGTATACCTCTGGAAAAGGCAGTAGTGCTGCTGGTTTGACCGCCTCGGTGCAGCGCGACGCCAACACGGGCGAATTCTTCCTGGAGGCCGGCGCAATGGTACTAGCTGACGGCGGGATTGTGTGCATCGATGAGTTCGACAAGATGCGTGACGAGGACCGCGTGGCCATCCACGAGGCGATGGAGCAGCAGACTATCTCGATCGCGAAAGCGGGCATCACCACCGTGCTCAACTGCCGTACGTCAGTGCTGGCGGCAGCAAACCCTGTGTGGGGTCGGTACGACGACATGAAATCGCCGGGCGAGAACATCGACTTCCAGACGACCATTTTGAGCCGATTCGACATGATCTTCATCGTGAAGGACGAGCACGACGAGTCGCGCGAC